AGGACCAAACAGAAACTCACGTCTCCAGCCAGCTGATTGAAAACTCTTCGAAACTGTTTCTCCTCGTCGCTTTCATGAGCCTCGGCGAAGTTCACGGGTCTGCGAGGAGGAGGCTGCAGAGAAACCAACTTCGGTTAGCTCACAACAAAAAAAATCACTTCATGAAACTAATGAATAATATCTGAACACACTGGACTGTGGATGAATCAGTCCGTGCCATCGGGTAATAATGTTCAACTGAAAAACTGTGTGTGTGGAATAAAATAAAGAATCTGGTGAGTTCCAGGTTCTGCTTCAGGTTCGCCGGCGACTTCCTGCCTGTGGGGGCCTGTGACTGTAGGAGCTAGGTCTTCAGTTACGATGCAGCACAGCAACTTTGTGCCAACATCCAGTGACATCACGCTACATCTGACTTATGGCGTCTCACGGTCACACTGAACAGAACCAACAGGGACGACCCATCTAAACACAGAACCTGAAAAAGTCCACCCATTTCTGTCCCAAGACTACCCAGAAGGACATGCGGCTCCCGGTGTCTTGCGTTCAAGCACATGTAATCACAGAACTTAGTTTCTGTAAAATTTCACCATGAAATGGAACAAAAACAGAATTTTAATACAGAAAATTATCCATGCAAACCTAAACGGGATGCTTAAAATTAATTTTTTTCAAAACAACTCTAATTTCAGTGGATTTTTTTTATTTATTTACAGGTTGCAATTGAACGCATCACATGACTTGGGTCAAAAAATACATAAATGTCTTGCTAGGCCTTCCCGAAGGCTCAGAGCCTGGTGTTTTGATCTACATCAACGTTGTGATGCTGTCCGTTATTAAACAAACTCCTCCTGACAGATCTGAGCCTTCTCCCCTGACAGTGAAGTCCTAACCAATGACACAGAAGCTTCAAACGACTCTCTGCTGCAGACCAGTCACAACCTGAAAATATCTGATTAGATAATTGTACATTCATGCGTTTAAGAGTATCAGACTCAACAGCAAAGTACTTTACAGTAAATAAGAGGAATTGACAAATAAGAAAGACTGCACTGAAAACATGTGTTATATTTAAACTAAATATTAAATTTAAATGTTATATTTCTCCTGTGCTGAATTCTTAGGCCTTCTCTGAAGGCGTTGAAGGCCCTGAGGGATCCCCGTAGCTTCCTTCCTTATTTTAATCTCACGACTTCTGCAGACTTTGTATCTGCTGATCTTCGGTCGTCGTTAAATGGACATTCAATTCAACGACTGTCGTCTTTGTTCAGATCGTTATTCAAAGTGCCTCCTGCAACATGTTCTGCCCATCCAGACCTCTTTTACGATTCATTAATTGGGTCAGAGCAGCCCGACTTATTGATCCGGGCTTCAGTAATGGAAGGAGCAGCAGCGAGTTCTGAAACGTTTCCCGTCGGTCGGTACTTACAGGGTCCGAAGGCCTGAACTGAGACGGGTCGATGTTCCTGCAGAGGGAAACAACAGGAAACCGGTTAGCTTAGCACAAGCACTTGAAACAAAGGGAAACCGTTAGCCTGTGTCAAAAGGAAGAAGACGTAAATGAGTGCGTCCGTCTCACCCGATCACTTTGATGATGCCTCCGATTAAATTATTTGCAAGAAACATTTTGTCTGATGAGAGAAAAACAACCACAAACAATAAACAAACAACTTTTATAAATACTAAACATGAAAGCAAACCAGGACGTAGCCGAAATCTGACCTGAGGAACTTGAATAAACTCTTGGAAGCGTTTGAATCAGATTCAAACCCCAATCGTTGCAAATAACTCTTTATTAATAATCAGGATTCTGTCGAAATGAGTTCAGGCTCTGAAAACTTCCTCATTCAGTTGTATCTTTACTGTGGTTCGTTCATTCAACCTTTATTTAGACAGGTAAATCAGGTAAATTATATATGTGTTGAGTAATTTACTGCCTGCTCTGGTGGTGCTTTTTAACCTCAGTAAATGAAGGATTAATCCGCCCGTAATCCAAACAGAAGCAGATTTATTCCAAGCTTTGTGAGTCAACACTCAGATTCAGGCGTTGAGTTCAGGAATCTCTGAGGTCAAAGGTCAAAACAGTCAGAAAATGATGCATTTAGCCTGTTGGGAGGAAAAGCAGCTAAAGTCCAGAAACTGAAAATTGGGATTACAGGATCATAAAAATAAACCAGATCAGGTTTAAACACAAATTATATTTATTTAATATATATAACTTACTGGTTGGTGCCATATTTACTATAAAATGTTAAAGCATTAATCTGTTAGTCAAAATAATAAAATAATAATATCTCATTGTTTCTGAGCTGCTTTTTTTTTACTGATAATAACTCTAATTCTCTGTATTCTCGCTTTAAAAGTAGTTTTTTTTACTAAGACTGAAGAAAATTTTCCGTCAGTTCTTGTTTGCTTTGGTCTGAACTGGTTTTCTGCTCCTGGAAGTTTCCACCAGTGGGTGTGACACGAACAGCCTCGTTGTTTTTTACCTTCTGTCGCAGGTTTCTGCAGCAGCTCGGACGAGTTTTAACTCTTTAACTAAATAAAAATAAATCAGAAAAAGATTTAAAAACTCACAGATGATTCCTGCTTCCGCTCAGTAGAAAAACAGACAGCCGGAGAGAGACCAGGCACAGAACACAGACTGAACTCACACAAAACCAGCAGAGCAGGCGTTTACCACCACAAGCCCCGCCCAAAGCATTTAAACCCCGCCCAGTCCAACCCTGAGGGACAGCCGACCTCCGGGTCCTAACGCCTGCCAATTAATTTCATCAAATGCTGTGTTTAAGGACAACAGAATGATCTGACAGTTATTTAATACTAATATTGTTCGTCCATTCATGAATCAATCTATTCAACTTTTTATATCCTAAATAAAAACTGAAACTATCTATTTAGTTTTTTAAGTTAAATAACAAATATGTAAACTTTAACCAGCAGTAAAATATATTTGATTTGAGGTTTTTTTTTTACTTTTGTCTTCAAATTTTCCTTTATTTTCTTTTTGTTTAAAGTTTATGTTTAAAATATTTTTCTACTAAAGCTCTGGCATGTTATTATTATTTCTGGTCCTCTATATTTAACCAGGACTCCCTGCATGGAGCGAATCTGCCTAAATGAAGATTTTCTGGAGTAAAAAGAGGACAGATTGAAAAATGAAATGCACAGTTTATTGAAAAGGATTGATTTTCTATCAGCACACAAATGTCTGTTTTTATAAGATAAGATAAGATAGAACTTTATTGATGCTTCAATTTTACAAAATATTAGACTGAATTCAGTGTTTTCTCTTAATTCTAGATATTTTCTAATGACAAGAAAGCGTTAAGAAAGGATTTATTTATTAAAAGTTTGGAAAAGTTCCATCTTGGCAACAAATTCAGGCTCTTCACTTCATGTTTTTCATATTTTTGATGATTAGCTTGTTTCTAAGTTTTAATGGTGAGTTAAAGTTCATTCTTCAGTTGAACATTTTAAATACATTTAAATACACTAACTGTGCTATAATATGTTAAATATGTTGTAACTTTTGAACCTAAGATCATTTCATTAACTTCCAGTAAGACTCGTTCCAGCAGCAGGATCCACCTTCAGATTGTGAAGGGAACATGTTTAAAGTATGTGTGTAATGTTCATGTCGGGGTGTGTCTCTGAGCTGTTGGACCTGTTCTGTGTCTCACCTCTGACAGTATCGGCCCGGTTCGGTTCTGAATGGATCAGTGCTTTTGTGTTAAACTGCTTGTAACTCTGGAAACAACAGCAACTGGAGAAACGAGTCCGATCGTTGGTTGAACCTCAGATCCAGGAGGAACAATGTGGTTCCATCCTGGCTGTGGAACACTGGACCAGCTCTTTACCCTCACTAGGGTCCTTGAGGGGTCGTGGGAGTTTGTCCTTCCAGTCTACATGTGTTTTATGGACTTGAAGAAGGCTTTCGACTGTGTTCCTCAAATGTGTGTGTGTGTGTGGGGGGGGCTCTGCGAGTTGGGGATTGGGGGCCCGTTGTTACAGGCTGTTCGGTCCCTCAGCACGTGGTACAAGAGTTTGGTTCTCTTTGCCGGTAGTAAGTCGGACCCCTTCAGGGCTGCCTGTTGTCACTGATTCTGTTCATAACTTTTATGGACAGAACTTCTCTGTTCAACCAGGAGGAGGAGGGAGTCTGGTTCAGTGACATCAGGATCCAGCTCTGCTCTTTGCAGATGATGTGGTCCTGTTGGCGTCATCGTGCCGTGATGTTCAGCTCTCACTGGAGCAGTTCACAGCCGAGTGTGAAGCAGCTGGGATGAGAACCATCCATCCATTATCTTTCACCCGCTTTTTCCATTTTGGGTCACAGGGGTCACCAGTGCCCTAATCCGGCAATCACTGTGCGAGGGGCGTGGTACACCCTGGATGGGTCTCCAGTCCATCACAGGGACACATAGAGACAAACGAGACAAACAACCATTCACTATAGGAACAATTTAGAGTTACCAGTCAGCCTAACATGCATGTTTTTGGTCTGTGGGAGGAAACCAGTGTAGCCAGAGAAAACCCACGCATGCACGGAGAGAACATGCAAACTCCACCCAGGAAGGTTCCTGG